GGTGTTAAACATTTAAGAGAATGGGTGCTATTAAGAAGTAAATTGGTTATGTAATCTGCTTACACAAAATAGGTAAGATCAGAGGTGAATGCACCAGCAAACAAATATTTGTTAATACTTCATGTTAGCTTTTTTAGTATATGACAGGATCATACAATTAGTAAATACATTTGAAATATAGTAGTAGCAACTTCAATATACTTTTGCCCATTATTTATAAGCAAAAATATTATACTTTTAAAAATCTAATTGTTGTCAAAGGATAAGTTTGTAAAAGTCAACTTTTGCCTTGAAGCGAGGAATATTTATTTTCTGTTCTTCTGACAAATGTGTGAACAGAGTCATGCATTATGAACATACCTGTTTTAAAATGAGTTGTCATGTCTAAGATTTTTTTTAATAAATGGTGGGGGGGATTGAAAATATTCTAGTGATCCATAAAGAAGAATATTCTAGACTTGGAAATCTCTAACTCATATGAAAGAGGAAATTCCAAAGATACTACAGTGACAGAAATTGCTATTGGGCTTTTGTCTACTGACGTCAATAAGGGATAGCAGACAGTTTTGTTAAAGTCAGTAAAAATGTATAGTAGGAATTAACTCTGGGCTAGATGCAGAACTTTAAATTATATATGACTCTTTTTAAGAGTATTCCCATGTGTATTTAATCCCATTATAAATTCCACATTTTGTTTAAAGATGAAGTGGTAAAACTGAAATCTGGCCGTGTTAGAAGATAATAATTTTGCTTTTGACAGTTTTGGATAGAAAGCACACTAAAATATTTTCAAATGGCTTAGCCAAGTTAATGGCCTCCTGCCAGCAATGAATGACCTGTCTGCTACCTGAAACAGTTATTCATGGGGGGGGGGGGTCATGTCTAATTTTCAGTCTTAATGTAACTACTAAAAATAAATCTTATCACAATAAGATTTTAAGGATTAATCGACAGTGTTGCAGAGATAGGTGCGATTTTTTAGTAATAAGAATACAAAGCTGAAAATGAATGAACTGCAGCTAAAATATTATATTCATTTTTCACATGGTCTAGTCCTTCCCCTGTCCCTCCCCTAATATTCTTAAGAGGGTCTCTTCTCCAGTCTTCAGAGAGTAGCTGGAAGTGGGGAGGCAGAAAAAGGTCCTCCTTTCCTTCCACTCTGCAGTTTTAATTGCACCTAGACATTCCATTATTGAGCCCATAACCTAGGTTTCAAATCTTCGTTTCTAACACTGATGGTGATTATCCTGGGTGGTCTGCAAGGAAACAGACAAAGGTCAGAGAAGTCTTCAAGAGGTAGACCGTGTCAGACTTGGCAGCGGGCCCTCCTGAAGCCCTGGGGCAATACTCTCCTGTAACACCAGGTCTGATGGGATGTTGCAACAGGGAAAAGATATTGTTCAGGTGTATCCTTAGAATGAGTGAGCTGATGGCTTTGGTCAGGTTCAGGTGCCAGCTGATCAGCATGTTTTGTGTTACAAAATAATACTCACCCACAAAGGTCTGATTTCCAGTGTCCTTGATGTATTTTGCCTTTTCTTAAAGCAGACTTGTATTACTTTGAAATATTTGCCTTAAGCATCTTTCTGCAGTTCAGTTTCTTTCTTCCCCCTAGCGCTCTGCAATCCATTCCGTATAGTGATTAGTGAATGGAAGGACTTCCTTTGATCAGGGTTTGACTGAATGCTCTTTTGCTTTTTTCCAGTTCCATGATTCTCAGTCCTATTTATTTTAATATTTTTTCTGGCGGGCCAGATTTAGAAGGTGATTGGATCCGGCCCCCGGGCCTTAGTTTGCCTACCCATGGAGTATTGTTTTCCACTCCAGCGTGTCAAATATAGAGAGTTCAGTATGGGACTGTGCAAATGAAGGGGCAGCATTAGTTCTAATTTGATTCTATAGAATAGAGTAAGCAGGCTGCAGATTGGAATGCAAATGGTTTGGGGAGCTGCCTCTGCCCCAGACAGTGGGGTCTTCATGGACAAGTGGAAAAGGTAGCCCCCAGTGTTTATCCCGGGTGTACCCTTTTACATTTTCTTTGTAAAATGCTGTCATTCACTCTTCTGAGGGAATGTGAAATGCTGTACTAGGTGACAGCTTTATTTTAGGGGTAAAACCTGTCCACCACACATGAGGCTGATTGAATCAGATTTCATTGACGGTCCAGTGGGAATACACGCACACTGCCCTAAGGAATCACTTCAGAGTAGCATTTTCCTTCCATGCACATCCCAACTGACATAATATCAGGCACTTTGCTTGTATCCAGGATGAATGTCATGTGGATGTGCTCCCTTTTTGGTCAGGTAAAGGGGAGCCCGTTTGAAGTGCATGGTATTCCAAGCACAGCATGGTTCCAACACAAGGTCTGATTGCTGTTAATCCTGGAAATGTCATATTTCTGAGCCATTCATACCTTAAGGTTATTTTTTCCATTTCCTATTTTTATGATTCTATATTTTGTAATGAATATTGAGGTAGTGCTGCTATTTAATGTGACTGAAGTATTTAATCTCTATGTGATGTTGCCCTCCATACAGGGAAACTCTGAAAACAAGACAAAAAATAACAAACGAGCAATTAATAACAAAATAAAGCATTGGGTGCAGAGAGAATACCAAACTGATTCAAGCCACATACTACTTTCTTTAGCTGTTGTGTAAGCTACAACATATGATTAGTTAAAGGGTTTATAGTTTGTTTAACAATGTAATAAATTATTGTAACAAATCTAACATCAGAACTCTATTATAACATAGCCTTAGAAGTGCACGTGTTTTTGGTTGCAAAAATACCATTTACCAAATAAATTTGATGACAGTTTTTAGTCAAAGTTGAAAGTTTCCAATAAAGTGTCATAAATGGAATGACACACTTTCAGGTGAACTCTTCTAACAGGGCATGCTTGTTTTAAAAGTTCACAACCATTTCATTTGCAAACGTCTTTATTCTCATTAATTATGTTTCGGTTCTGTTAGTGTATCGGCATGGCTAGTAATTCTTTATATGTTAGGTTTGGTGTTCCAAGTGCTTACCCATGGTCCATGTTTCCTTTGCAGCAAGATGTCATTATGATATATGGTTTGTTTACACATATATACAACCTGATAGAGGGGTTCACAGCATTAACACCCCAATAAGGTATTGGTTCTTTCATAGCTACAGCCTTGCATTCCAGCAAAAATCAGGCATGGCTCTGACTCTGTCTTCCCAGCCTGCTGCCTTGCTTCCAGCTTGCATGCACACACAACTCCACTCTCAACACTGCACTTTGTCTTTCAAACTACCTGCAAGTATACAAATTCTTCCTTTCTGTGAACATTATGAGAGTTTGCTGCTAGTCAATACATTGTAAAATATTTTGCTCACTAACAACTAAGTTAAAATTATGTCATGGCATGTTGCTAAATTATGTTTTCTCAGTTTAAGTTTATATGTTCCTGGGAATCTCTGAATTTACAGTTTCATGCCAAATGTTCCCTTTAGTGATTTAAAGGGAATCAAATCTCTTACCGAATTTGGGCCAGGGAAACTTGGATGTGACTGCATGACCACAAATCCCTGGAATGGGACTCAGCAGAGTCATGGGATTTTGAGGCATCTTTTTGAACAACCTTCTTCCCTGTAGTATACACATGGAAAAATTTGTTATGATAAATTGTTTAGCATAACTCCACATCCCTTTGCAACCCCTCCTTCCTGGATATTAACTTTTTTGGCCTTGTGAAAAGTTGTTGTTCTCAATAAAACTGTTGTAGTAGACAGCACCCAATTTTATATACATATATAGTGGCAGAGGATATATTTTGCTGAAAATCTGCTCAAATGAAAATTTGTCTCTTTTGGAGTCTAATCTTGCTACAGTGTATGAATGTGGCATAAATAAATAATGTGGTGTTTTGTTTTTTGAAAAACAAAGGATGTTAAAAGGTTTGTGTTATTTATTTCAAATCCAGAATACACCCCTAAACCATGTATCGAACTGTGTTTATATAAAAAATATAATGTCATAATTAAGATAACCCAGGGAACACCCGGAATCATTTCAAATCATGTTTTAGGTCAGGGTTTCCCAAACTTGTGTCTCAAATTGTTTTTGGACTACAATTCCCATCAACCCTAGCTAGCAGGACCAGTGGTCAGGGATGATGGGAATTGGAGAAGATCAAAGTTTGAGAAACCTTGTTTTATGTTATTTATTTGGGCCTTGCCTGTGTTAAAACCATAGACCCGTCTAATTAAGTTTAGGGTTGTGCATATTCCTTGATCATACTGTGGAATCGATCAATTTTGTTACTCATTCTGTGAACAATTGGTCTATGGAACTCACAGCTACATTGCTTAACAAGTATGGTGAAAGCGTTATATTTCATGGACAAAGTGCTAAACTGTAGTCTGAGAGTGAAGGAGTAATTCAGTGCTTCACATTCCTTCTTTTTTAGAATATAATAAGCATTTTCTAGAGAGGGGGGATATTGTCTAAGCTCTAGATATTCCACTACTCACATTGTGCCTTCTTCCCTTCCCCTCCATGCTCCCATAGCCAAAATGTTTAAAATAAAATAAAAAGCTACCTTTGCAGCACTGTGGAAGTGGTGGATATAACGTTCTATGGAAGTACAGAACTTTGTACCTGACATTTGGTATCTATTACTTTGATGTTCTACTCTGGGGACTGTAGTTTTGCTTAAGGTACTACATGTGAAGAAATAAAACACAAGCATTTCATTGTCTGTAGGTTAGCAATAAGGTTCACTGCTGATTCTGACTAAAAATCAAAAGGGAATGTAAATATGCTGAGCTGGATAACTTCTAGTTTAGAAGTAGTTAATATCCTGAAGGCTGGATAGGATGACGTGAACAACCATGCATGGCATGAACCCATCTGAGGAATTTCTAGCTGAGTCATGTTTAACCCTCTGTTAGCATAACTAAACCCTTCTTTGTTCCATCTCCCTTCCCCCTCAGATGTATGGAAGAAGTAGAGAAACAATGCACAGTCCTTTTATGTATGTATTTAATTTTCTAAGGGCAACTACTCAAGTTTCAAGGATCTGATAAAAGTAACAACAAACAAGGTAGACACAATCACAGTGTGCATTAGTTCAATAGGAAAATAATCAGATTTGTGTTTGTTTTGAGCAGTTCATACCACCATCAATAATCTTAACATGAAGCAGTTTTTAATGTGATTCATTGCAGGCTACAGCTGCTGCTATCGCATTCAATTAGTTCTACTAGAGACTGGAATTTCCAGACCGTTCTGAACATTGGGAGATGAAATGCTCTGCTGACGTCAGGAGCTGCTCCTGGGAATGTTTTGCATTCCTCTTCCTGGCAGTGGTCAGGTGGCTTCCAGCAAGAAGGAAGGAACAGCCTCTTCCAAAAAGGAGGGGGGAGGGAACAAGTAGGGAAAAGAACAGTTTATAATAAAAGTATTGTGGAGGAGGCACTTTCAATGCAAGCCAGATTTGAAATTGGAACCAGATGCTTCACATTTGAAAGCTGCATAAATGTTAAATGCATCTATTAGTGACTGCGATGGCTGAAGTATTTGGCTGTCTGCCACACTTTTAATCTCATTGCTCTGTACTGAAAAGAAAAATAAAAAGGTTGAGAAAAACAGATTTTTTTTGTTTTGTTACTGAGCTTTAGACTAGTATTTTTGGAGAATAATTTGAGGGCAGGAAGTCTCTTTTAGCAGAAAGCTGTGCAATATAAAAGGGCCAATGAGATACATACTTCTTAATTATGTTGTTATTGCTGTAAAATAATATATTCAGTTCATCATGAAATGAGAAATGTAGTGATACTAAAGATTATAAATGGAAGAGTGATTATCTTTAGTTGTTCACATATATAACAACAGTTTATTTGCAAAGTATTTAGCTTGGCATCTGCTGTCTATAGCATTACCAGTGAAACTGCATATTTAATTTGAGCAAAATATTAATGGAGCATCTGAAGTTAATGGCTACTCCTTACTTTATAACATGAAATGTGGGCCCTGCTGAGAATTCTCTGAGGATTCCTCACTCACTGAAATTCAAGCTAGATTGGGATTTAAGTTCTGTATTGGGAGGAATTGTGTCTGGACCAGAATGGATTCTAGTCAAAAATTTCTAGGGAGCACTAGAAATTGTCATAAATGTGGATGTGGCTTATGGATCTCATCACAATATTCTGGAGCAAATCTCTACTTGCCCATGTGTACTAAGACCTATTGTGACCTGGTGATGTCCCTAGGCCATGCCAAATTTCACCATTCATCTTTAAAAGTATCTGATACACTTTGCAGGTCAGCTGTGTCATCAACTCTGCATTGTTGTGTGATGCTTCAGAGATCTCTGGAATGTTGTGATGACATTGTTGAATTGATGAAGTAGTATGTGATGTACCAGTGCATCTTTGAGTCAATTTTGTGATCAGTTTGGTGAAACTCTGGAGGTTTATGCTGTGTGCAGGTTGGTTGCTTTGAGTCTAGAGTTTTTCACAGAACTGTAGTTTTGGTGGACTTCAGAAAATATTCTGGGCCCATCAATACTTTTTCAGAGTGTAAAGTGATTGGTTCTAGCATCCCTAGATAAAATATCAAAAGGTATTTAGACCATATCAGACAACTGCTTGTTTCTTGTCACACCACTATCCTCTAGCAAACATTGGCTACGATTTATTGAGGGAAATGACACATAAGTGTGCATTCTACATTGTTCTTTCTGCTGTTTTTATCAAAGCTTCTTATATGGAGCCAGAGGTTTCCGTGATCTTGGATGAGAATATTTTTCTTATGTTTGTTCTAACTGGGCTGGATTCAGCTACCAAGTTCCAGTTGTGGAGGCCTGTGTAAGGACTTCCGTTAGTGCAATGTGGTTCCCCCCTCTCTTCCACTACACATTCCTCATACCCCCCTGAATTTGGTTCAGGAGTTTGGAAGAGCCTCCAGAAAAGCACTTGGCGTAGAGGAGTAGGGAATCATTCTGTCTGGCAAGCTGAAATTCTTGTGCCATAGCACTACACTGAATTCCACCCACTTGAGTACACCAGTAATTAGTCTGACAGCACCGTCTAATTATTAGACTATAGAAATTGGGCAAATAATATTTCTGGGATGAAGTTCCTCTGTGAACATTATTTATTAAAACTGAATTCCATGTGATCCTTTTGTGGTATGTGACATTCTGCACTGAAGATCGTAATACAACAAGTGCATCTTATATGTGGTAGGCATGTGTTGCCAAATTAATATTGCAGGCAAGGAGACAATGGCAATGGGATGACAAGACGGCATCAAACAGTTCAAAATTTCAATATTATCTACCTATCACTTCCTACTTCTAAGTGCATTAATAGGCACCAGACTGCAGAAAATGTCAACATACTTAGGTCCTGGAATGTTTCTGACTGGGAATCCAAAGCTTATTGTTGTTTTAATCTTCTCAAGCTACAAAGCATTGGTATGAATCCTTCCCTTTACATTATTTATTATAAAACAGGGGTCAGCAAACTTTTTCAGCACTGTCCCTCAGACCTTGTGGGGGGCCAGACTAGATTTTGGAAAAAAAATATGAACGAATTCCTATGCTCCATAAATAACCCAGAGATGTATTTTAAATAAAAGGACACATTCTACTCATGTAAAAACACGCTGATTCCCGGACCATCTGCGGGCCGGATTTAGAAGGCGATTGGGCAGGATCTGGGCCCCGGGCCTTAGTTTGCCTACCCATGTTATAAAACAAGCACTCTCCTGAATAATAGGATGACTCGGTGCAAAGGAAAACAGAGGTCCTGTACCTTAATAATTGTGTAGAAGAGGGATTTTTGGCCAGGGAATGCTTGTCATGCAGTAATGAGAAAGCTGTACTTGCTGGTGTTCTTTTTGTATAACATTTCAAAGAACCACTCTTATGTCCTGTTTTGTATCTGAACACCCTTGTTTGGGGAGTAGTTGTACTACATAACAGCTTTACCAGTTTTGAAACCAGTATCTTGGGGTTAAGGTTCAGTATAATATGAACATTTTATGCTTTGCTATTTGATGTTGTCTTTGAGGCTTAAATCACATAGGTAAGAATAACTTACTCATAAGCTGAACAGTGCTTATGTTTCATAAGTTTATATACAATGTTCACTGATGAAGAAGAAATATCCCCACTATTAAAATAGCTAAGCTTTATTTTTCTGCAACAAAGAGAATCACTGAAAGCAGCATGGTTGGTAACTGCCCAAAAATGTAATCTAATGCTTATGTGGCTCCAGTGAAATGTGCAAATCTTTGTGTGTTTCCTGGTATACACTGAATTGGATCTGCAGTTTCCTGCTATATGGGAGGAGTTAACACTGAGGAATTTCCAGAAATGTTGAGAACTGCTGACTCATAGTACACAAGCAAGTTATCCAGCTGAGGTTAGTTTCAGGGAGGTTTTGGAGTTCTTGGCTGAAGCAACTGAAAAGTATTGCAGTAACATACAATTTTATTTTTAGCAAGGTGGGGGGAGGCTGTTTTGCTTAGCATAAAATGCTTGCTGACCGACATTTCACAGTTTGAGTTATTTCTTTATCTATTTTTAGTATTTGGAAAGCAAATTGTTTTTCTGACATTACTGCCCTTTGCTGTCTGTCCCCTCCCCCCCAGAAAACATTGTTAAGGCCTTGTAAAAGGCACTTCAGCTGTTAACAGTAGATCATAGCGGCTTTAAAGATGTAAATAAGAAGGTGATTTCCCAATTAAGTCAGAGTAAAGTCAATGGAATCAATGGACAAGTTACTAAAGTCCGTTAATTTCAATATGTGATTTAGTTGGATATCACCCATAGATACAAAAAACTTGTTGGAATTGTATAGTCTACCAATATTTGATTCACGTTTTAGGAAGCCGTTTTGAACCTCATGGATCATATGTTGGATTTATGCAAAAATAAAAAAAGAGAATTTGTAATATGAATGGTAGTAGTCACTTTCACTTCAAAGGAAAAATTCCAAATGCATATAGATTCTAAAGCAGAAATATATGTTTTCTCTAATGTTGACCAAATACTATAGAGGCAGAGGGGGTCTTCCTGAACTTTACCCCAGTAACTATTTCTGTATGACACTTGATAGCTTTTTAGAGCCAAATTAAACTTATTAGTTGATGTTTTTATTGGCTGCATCTTAAACAATAGTTTATGGTTTATTGTGACTGTGGAAATTACTCATACTTTATTCTTTTTCTAGTTTGTGTGTGAGCAACAAACGGTAATCCGGGGCTTAATGTTGCATCCAAACCGAGAATCGTGTTGTATGTTGCTCAGACAAGCCACATTTGGGAAGGAGGAAAGTATATACATATCCATAGTAAATCATTGTGTGTGAACACAGCCAGTGGTATTTGCCTAGTAGTACATGGTCATCATGTATGTACATATATGAACATATGCGCCATCTAGGAGTTCCCAATTAATGTTTGTATTGCATTGTGCGTCATGCATTGTTACAAACTCTGCTTCCATATGAACAGCAATTTGTAAATAAATATTAATACTAATCATTTCTAAGATTTTCTGCAATGTGTTAAAATGTGTTAAAAATTACATTTTAGCCTTCAGTCAAATTTCAGGTAATAGTTTATTTGTAGTGAAATGATTTGATCTCTGTTCTTAGGTAACAGAAAGAAATCATTATTGTCCACACAAAGTGAAGCTTTTCAAACAGTGAGTAGTTTTTAGTGTAGGAAAGCCCTTGGTTCAAAGCGTTTTCTGTTAAGGCATTTAGCATTCTTTACAAGAGTATGCAATGTTTTTAATATAGAAAGAACATGCTGTCTTGTCAATGTCAGTGCGGTGTTTGGAATTTGTTCCACGGTTCATTGAGGAGGAGCGTAAGGCATAAGCCAAATGTCAGAAATGATATTTAGATGTTTCATCCTATGATGGGTACAGTCTGTATTCAAAGAACATCCCAGTTTGTATGTAAATAGAAGTCAAATAACTACTTTTTAATTAATGTAGTGAACAGCCACAATAAAGTCACTTTTATCTGAACTGTGCTTGCAGGCATAGTTTTGAAATGCATAACATTTTTGTTGAGTTTAGAAGTGAAAAGCCAGGATGAGCAGGAACATTCCAGTGTTAGCAAATCTTTCATTTGGAAAGCTGTTGCTGCACGTGATTTGTTTTGCAGAAAGAGGTTCAAATTGTTATAGCAGGAACGGGAAATAATGTGTTGATGTGTGCTGGTAGTGGTATTCTTGTGGTTGTACTTGGAATACTTGATCTAAAATGTCTGTGATGAAAGTGTTTGTTCACTCTTAACATGCGTACATTGAAAATATTGCAGATTTTCACATTCTGAAGCTGGATTGTACAAGCACAGCTTAAAATTGTGTCAAGGAGGAATACATTCCTTCCAAATGTGTTTATTTAGTTAGAATATTGGAATAGTTAATCAGCAAATCCCTCACCCCTAATCATACGTGTTATAGTCCTTGTGGGATATTTGAGAATGGAGAGTTTGAAATATAAATTGTTATCTATAGTTGAACTCCCTCACTGATAAACAAATGAAATAAATGCCCGTACTGCGTGGTGTGTGTGTGTGTGTGTGTGTGTGTGTGTGTGTATTCTCTATCAGGAGCAGCAAGACATGCTGAAAGGATTGGGAAGTCCCCTTCTCTGGGTCAACAGAAGGCAGAAAAAGGACACTAGCTTCCTGGGTGAAGGTGGACTTTCTCATCTAACAAGTATGTTTCCTGCCTTGGAGCAGGCAGGTCTCAGTGAGACCTCTTCCAAAGCCATTTGTTAGCAACATTATTATTTGAAAAGCAAACTGAAAACTTTAACATAGAGGAATGAGAAAGAAGACTGTTGTTTTCTTCTTCTCCCCACCCCATCACTGTTTTTAGTCTAATTAGGGAACCTAGACCAGCGAAGCATTCACCTAGGAATTTCCAGGAGGACTTCTGTAATTCCTTATTCCTGAGCTGAGGGACAATGAATAGGGCCAGGAAGCGCTTGATCAATCCTCCCCCAGCCTACCTCTGATTTCTCCAGACTCTCTGAGCTCCCTATCTCCCCGTCTTTCCCAGTGGGTCCCCTGAAGTGTGTCCTCTATTTAGGGGTGATATGCCCATCACTCACCCCCCTCACAGAGGTTTCATAATCCGTTCCTCAGGGTGGGATTGGAGTTGTGAGCGGAAGCTTTCACCAGATGCACCAAGAAATTGACGTCAAGCCTCTGAAGTCTCAAAATGTGCATATTTTGTGTTTGTGCAAGCGCTTGCGCTTCAGAAGGGGAGAATATTTCAATTTAGCTTGATAGGCATGGCGCCCCCCACCCTATTCTATTTAGTGTAAATAAAGTGTTGTTTATGTGCACTGCCCATACTAAGTAGTTTAACAAATCCCTACACCAAGGAGTTTACAATCAAAATAAAGACATGGGGGAGCAAAGAGTAAAGGAAGAGACGAATAGAGGCAATGGTAAATTGCTCTAGATCATCTTATCCACCTGTCTAGCCTGCTTGAATTCAGATTTCTATTTTGTAAGATGAGGGGGTGGGAATCACAGGGTTGCCCTTCTGGTGGTGACTAGTAGACTTTAGTATATTCTGCTAGTGACAAGGAATCCCAGAACTTTGAGAATCCTAGGTATTGTCAGCAACTAATATTGCAGTAGGAGGCTTCTGCAGCTATAACTATTTTAAAAATCTTTTTTAAAATAGTGCAAGGCTTCCCCAAAATGCAGCAGGTATGGCCAGAAGGAAAACTTCCCTTTAGGGGGGTGGGAGGACGTTCCCTGAGGACTCTTCCTCAGGACAACTGCTTTTATAAGTCGAAGCTTTTAGAATGTCCTGATCCTCTATGAGAAATTTTGTCTGTTTTCTGTAAGTCTCCATTATAATGCTAACTTATTTTATTATACTTTTATTCTGCTTTTCAGATGAATACTTCTCCCATCAAAATAAAAATGAGGGTCAGACCCTTCCCTCAGGCTTACAAACTAAAAAAAGCAACAAAACACACCAGAGTAGTAGGGTGGAGAATGAGAGGAATCCTGATCAGTTTTTTCCCTTATTTGTTAAGCGTAGAATCTGCTTTGGGTGTAGGGTGCTGTTGTTTTCAGTATTAGGTGAGTTCTTATAGAGCCTCCCTAATGTAATTTTCTCCACTATTACCTTTGGCTCTGCCTCAGCCCATTCTTTGACGCTAGCCTGTTCGCAACCATTTAACAGATAAATTTGCTGGCTCCTGCTCCACTTACTTGCTGTGAGATAAATGTTTGTGGTTTTTAGCAGTCTTCTGCTTTGCTCTTTTGGGTTATCATTAGATGAAAGTTTGCTCCTAAAAAACAAAATATCTGTTCTAAGTGATGACCTACCTTTGCTTTAGACCAGGTTTCTTGTTACACTTATGATGAAAATTATATTCCTCTTGTAAGAGATTGAATGCCATTCTTGTGTATTTGCTTAAGAACTCAATCCAGTCATTGTGTTTGCAGTTTGGCTGTCTGCCTTCTTCCAAGTACCGTAACTGACTAAAATGAGCAACTCCCTGGGAGAACAGAATCCTGGGGAAAAAGAGGGGGAAACCCACAGAGGTGAATGAGTTCATTTATGTTCTGTGCCAGAGGTCAACTCATAGTCCATTGTATGATACTCTCATAAAATTTCAACTTTTCTTCATAAGCTCTGTTTGAGTAGCATGTCAAAATACATTAAAACAAATTTCAACATGGCTGCTTTTTAGTTTATCAGGTTAGCTTTTAAAAGTGCTAGTATGAGTATCATGTTCATGTGTAAAGGCTTAGAGATAAAGGTTTTCAGCTTCTGAAATCTAAAAGATTATTATTTTTACTAATTTTATTTATTAGATTTATATACCACCCTTCATCAAAAGATCTCAGGGCGGTGGTAGCTGACTCCTTTGAAATACTGTGTTTTACTATGTTGCAACTCAAAACGTGAGCAAAGTAAGACTGCTGTTTCCCCATTTTTATATTCAGTTTTGTATATTTAAATATTCAAAAAACCGAAAGAATAATGAACAATTACAGCACACATCCAAAAAAATGTGTGTTACTTTTAACCTTGTGCCTGCACTATTCTTCTGTTATTCTTCTAAAATGACCCTGGGAAAACACATGATTGTTAGGTAAAGCTCTTGGATAACAATTCATACAAGGTGTAAACAACTTTTTTGTATATCCTATTCTCACAGAGACCAGCCAGATGTCTGTGGGACACTGGCAAGTAGAACTTGAACTCAAGAGCACTGTCCATTTCTGTGGCTTCTATCAGCTGGTATTTAGAAATATTATTGCTTGTGACTGTAGAGGCAGAACATAACCATCATGACTAGTAGCCATTGATAGCCTTATCCTCCATGAATTTATTCACCCAGTCCTCTTTTAAAGCCATCCAAGTTGGTGGCCATCACTTCTTCCTGTGGCAGCAAGTTCTATATTTAATTATGGACCGTGTGAAGCACTGAAAACCTAAAAAAGTGGCAGAGCATCTTTTAAACTGATTGCGGCAGGAAAGCCAAACAGAGCTGAATAGTTTCCAGTTTGGAACAAATCATCCTCCAGGAACGAGGGTGAAAATGTTTATGATTGTTCACATAGTGGAAGAACAGAAAATGCATTGAGAGTCCAGGGCACCTAATTGCAACTCAGAGAGGCCGTAAAGCATGGTTCAACAAATCAGTCTGTCCATGAGCTGCATGCAACTTGTGCTCTGCCGCTTTGCTCCTCTCTTCCTCCAGTTGGAGAAACAAGTAATGGAGCATCTAGCTTAGTGTTGCATCTGAACTAGCAAACAAACAACCAAGATTTGTTTTAAGCTTCCCGATTTGTTCAGGAGAAACATACATGCACTGGTTTGTATGAAACAGCAAGGCAGCCACTCTGGTTAGATTGCAGCTTGTGTGCAGTTTAATTTGCCTAGTCGTGTTCAGTCCCTGGTGTTTCTGGGTAGGGCTGGGAAAAACCTTTTCCTGAAACTCTGGAGAGCTGCTGCCTGTCTGTGTAGATAATGCTGAGCAAGATAAAACTGGCATTCTGCCCCCTCCCTCCAATTGCTACGACTGAGTGGCTAATCTTTTGCCCCAAGGGCTCTAGAAGTGGATGTGCATCACATTGACAACACTAAGGCATGCACATGCAGAATAGGGGGTTATCATCTGTTCCCACTCATCAAATTATTGATGGTAGGGGCATGATTTGCATTCCCATCAGGGTTTAGACCTCTCCTTCCATACTGGTAGTGTGCCTACTTTAATTTTCTTTCTTTTTGCCACTGCTGCCAAAATGTGGGTTTTTGGAGGGGCTGGAAAAATTTGTTTGGAGGTCTGGGTAAAACCCCTGAACAGCTAGCCACCTCTGGTTTATCACTTTAGAGTTGCGTCAAAGCACAGCTAATGAGAGAGAGAGAGAGAGAGAGAGAGAGAGAGAGAGAGAGAGAGAGAAATCTGGATATTTTGCCCATGTTGAGATTGAGTTAAGAATATAGGACGTGTATATAAGAATATAGGATGTGTAATATATTCAGAATTAAGTAACAGTTTTTAATCTAAAATGTGATTTTGAATATCACTGAAAATATTTTAATAATACTTTCTTTTCATGTAATTGTAAAGTTAACCTTCATCTTGTTGTTATAGCACCAAATAATTATGCACAATTCCTTTGTAGTGGAATGTGTGATTGAAAGCATGCTGTTCCATTGCGTCATTTGTTTGAAATAATAATACGAGCTCTGGTGCTTGACTGATGGTTTAAGACACTATCTTTATGTAATATCCAAAGATCACAAATTGAACATATATAGACAGTAGAAGAACAAATCTGTTCACATACTGATATCCAATCTTGCATTTCTATGGAATCTGATCTGGGGCACATCCGCATTTACTTTTTTTATTCCTAGTATCACATGAAAAGTTGTAAAGCCTGAGAAGGAGGCAAAATGGTTTCCATTCTTTTGGAACCACTTTTATCTGCTATTCTAGAAACCGAAAATTAAGCTACTATTGTAATTGCCATGGATTTGAATAATATTGTAGGGGTTATTTTGTTTTCAGTCAATATAAATACAGCAACAGAGTCATCTATGCTTGGGATGGGGAACTGGTGATCCTCTAGAGCAGCAGTTCTCAACCTGTGGGTCCCCAGATGTTGTTGAACTACAACTCCCATCACCTCTAGCTAGCAAGGCCAGAGCTCAGGGATGATGGGAGTTGTAGTCCAACAACATCTGGGGACCCACAGGTTGAGAACTGCTGCTCTAGATGTTGTTGTATTCCATCTCCCTTCATCCTTGGCCACTGATCCCTGATCCAAACCTTCCCAGAATTACTGGTTTAGTGCACTGCTCTGTGCTGTACTGCTGTATGTGTACATTTATGGTTGGGACATAAATATTTTGGACATAAATGTTGATTGTGGATTATGAAAACATATATATGATGTGAAGGAAAGCTTCCTCTTTAGATTTAAGACTTTATTCCTTAACTGAGTTTTGTTGTTGTTTAGTCGTGTCCTTTCAGTGAGCACTCAGGGCAATTTGGTCTCTGGTTCCTCTGCTCCTTTGAAATCTAGCTTGTACTATACAATGCAGTCGTAACCATGTCTACCCAGAATTAAGTCCTGCTTAGTTCAGGTGGCTTACTCACAGGTAAATGGATGGTAGTTGCCTTCATATTAAATTACTTTTCAGCCCCTGTAAGTAACTGGTCTGCTGCCAGATAAACAGAAGCTGTGAGTTTTGTAAAGCCAAAACTGTCCCTGTAAAACTATCCTGTCTGATATAGGGGCTGGAACATCCTTCCCCGTGATAGTGGAATCAAACAGCTTAGAAGGTAAGGATTATGACGGTGTCTTTCTCTACTGGGTCAAGAGGTGTCACCAGGCCAGAGGCAGAGGAGGAAAAGAGAATTTGGTATGGCCTTCCACCCCAAGAAAAAGGGGATACAGAAGCAAATTTCTGGCTTAGTTGCAGGATTAACATTAATTACTCTATTTGTAGGTTAACTAAAGTGACTATGGAATTGTTCTCTTAATTCTAGAACTTTGAGAGCAGTGAATTTATCTACATCAAAATGTCTCTTTCTCCTCCATATATGAATGCAAGTATCTTTGAAAATTCTATGCATCTATTTGGTTTCTGGTCTTGTTCTCTCACGTCAGTAGACTCTTATCTCAATGTCTCCGAATCTTCATGGCCTGAGGAAGTTGACCTTCTCTCCAGTTGCATTTCATTGAAGCAGTGAATACACTGTTGAGTGTACAGGCGAGGCTCATAGCCTGAGAGACAGAACTTACTAGTGTAGGAATTTACTCATGCAGATAATAAAAATAATTGCAGAACTTTATATTTATTTACTAAAAGCAAAGCTTGTTTTTCTACTTGATTTCTTTTCTATTTTCTCATCCATCATTTCTGTTATCCAACACAGGCACATAAAACTTTAAAGTGCAGAAGAGAACTCTTTTGCATTCTGGAAAGATTAAGATTTTAATATTTAGCTTCAAGGGTAACAATTCTGCATTAAGGCATTCAGTACACCAGTAGCATGAAGCAAGTTGTAAATCTACACTTGTGAGTGGGAAAATGTTGTAGGCTGGTGTTGTTGTTTTTAGTACTTCTCCCTTCCATAAAAACATTTGTTTTGAGGCTACCACTAGGTATTGTGTGGAAGAAAACTTGGGAAGCCTACATTACACAAACACTCAAAATAGTTTATTTCTGCTCTCCTGTTGGTGTTCTGCAATTACTAAACTTCATTCCACATAAAATAATACAGTGGTGCCCCGCAAGACGAATGCCTCGCAAGACGAAAAACTCGCTAGACGAAAGGGTTTTCCGTTTTTTGAGTCGTTCCGCAAGACGAATTTCCCTATGGGCTTGCTTCGCAAGGGAAACGTCTTACGAGTTCTTGCGAGTTTGTTTCCTTTTTCTTAAAGCCGCTAAGCCGTTAATAGCCGCTAAGCCGTTAATAGCCGCTAAGCCGCTAATAGCCGTGCTTCGCAAGACGAAAAAACCGCAAGACGAAGAGACTCGCGGAACGGTTTAATTTCGTCTTGCGAGGCACCACTGTACTGGTAAGCTCACTACCTTATGAACCAGAAGTTCCACTCACAGAATGGGTGTTGTTGTTTTTTGCCTTGAACTCCCAACTGCCAGCCTGTTGTACCATCCCCATCCCTTCACTATTCCTAAGGGTTGAGGGATCTTATGGAATGGAATGGAATGAGATGTAGTGAAGAGACTAAAGCTCACTATAGCTGAATGGGGGAATAGGAAATTGGGGGCCAAATTGTGCTTTCCTTTCATGCTAGCCACTCTTGGATTGAAGCGTAGTAATAAAGTCATATTATTGACTTTATTCAATAAATTTACTCATACCCCCTCTCCTCCCCCTGTGTGCTTTTCTCCGTAGCCAATTTAGCGAGACACATTGCACTGGCTGCCACTAGTGCCAAGTAGTTGTATCTGGCCCTAAATTTTATGTTTACTTCTATTAATTGCAGTGGGTTTTAGAAGAGGGGTGGTACTTTTGTTGGGGGAC